GAGTAGTTCAAGGTCAACTTAAAGAGAAGGACATTATAATGCAACGATTAAACTCAGAGAGTCTTCCTGGCGGACAATTTGAAGAAGTCAAATTTGAGAAGGATCCAGACACTGTTTATATTACTGGTAATAAGATCCCTACTAATATTATAAATGCGAAAGTAACTCTGTCTGTCTGGCTGTTACGCGTTCACGCCTAAACCACTGAACTGATTTTAATGAAATTTGGTACAGACATAGAGTTGACCTTGTGAAAGAACATAGGATAGTTTTTATCCCAGGCCTTTGAAAGGTTCTCTTGGAAACGCGATATAACCGAACTCAATGCGGGTGAAGCTGTGAGCGGAAAGCTTATTATCTTATAAATATTGATAATAAACTGGCTTTGCAACTTTCTGATTTAGGCCTTAATTACTATATTGTTAAAGTTAGAGCCAAAACTATGGGTTATGTAATATCTGCCAATATCAAACATCTTAATACTATTTTACTTCTCTTATACTGTTTAGTCAGATATACATATATGTTTGAAAGTTTAATTGAAGTAGTTATTGTTCAACGGCTTCCATTTTAAGGAAATTTTTATTACCTTGTACAGGATAGCATAGAATATAATAACGAAACTGTATCGAGAATTCAAGGAAATTCAAATTATTCTGTTTTTTAATTAATGAGTGCAAATATTTTCGCTCTAAATTAACCCTGAATGAACCCTTTATCCACACAATTTTTATAAAATAATATGGTAGAATTCAGACGTTCTTATAGTTTTTGTAAATAATAATATTTATTAGAACAGTAAGTTACTAGTGTTTAAATGAAACTAATATTTTCGGATTTACTACGCGTTTTCTTATTTTGACTACAAAATACATACTCCCAACGTTTCGGCTACTTCACAGCAACCGTAATCACGGGCAGACGAGATGTGAGTGTCTGTCAGTCGGTCTGGTTATTTGAAGTAAATCCGAAAATATTAGTTTCTTATCTTAAATCTTAGATCTCATTAAGTTACTAGTGTTTTCTTATACTCTTATGACAAAAATGCAGAATACATCAATCTGAATTCAATCCACCAGGTCTAACCCTCACATCGAGTAGTGTGCCACTCGCACACACAACACTCTCCGCGTGGCCATTACCTAGAGAGAGTCGCCACCCACTTTGGTCCAACACTAGCGATTCACTTGGACGTTTCGTTGTATCACTACCTGTCACGTACATGGGTCGAGAGGTCATGATATCAGCTAACAACGATGGTTACGTGACAACCAATAGACACGTCAAGGTATTCGTGGTTAAAGATACTTTATTTTCTCAAAAAGAAATTACATTTCACTTACTTGAGAAAATTATGACTATAAACATATATTAAATTAAAACTTCGACAATCATAATAAATGTATCACTAGGTAGTTTAACATATTCTTACAATAAATTTTGCTTTAAACAAGAAATTTAAAACATACCCTCTAAGCAACAATAATTGTGTACAAAACAAATTCATCATTATTAAATATAACAATATAATCCAAAGTGATTGAAAAGTTCATTTTAATTGGTTAATGTTAGTTCTAACAGTACTACTAATGGTAATTGTTCATTCAGGCCGCATAAGTATAACAGTCTGCATGTGTCTATTATTCACATTAATTTATATATTTATTTCTGTTATAATTTTAGTTACTTATAACTTATACAAAACCACTGTATGCTTTATTCTCATAGATACTGCTGATATATTATATCATTTTTGTTTGTTCCAGATTAGCAGTAGTGACAACTTAACTCCTAACATTATACTGAAACTGGAGAAAGACGACAATGTCCTGGGAATGCCAAGACTTGTGTTCATTATGGTTGCTGGTAAGTTAGATCGTTTATTTATTAAGTCTTTACGTGAATTTATCCGGTTTAGTACAAAACAATATGAAAATGTCATATAAGAAGAAATTAATATTTCAAACTCAGTTATAACTGCATATAAGTATTAAAATTTTTAATTAATAATCAATATTATTAGACAATTATAATTTTTGCTCTTATTGTATCAACATTGTAAGTAATGATTAACAATGACACGCATATTTCCCTTGAGATACATCCAACTTTATTTACTAACACAACCAACGACGTGAGTCAGTATAGGAAGATTCGCAACTTATACTAAATCCTAAAACCAATGATAATATCACTTTCCGCCTATATATAGCTATATATATTCCGCGATAGCTTTCTGCCTGCAGCTTCACCCGCGTGGAGTTCGGTTATATCGCGTTTCCAAGAGAACCTTTCAAAGGTCTGGGATATAAACTATCCTATGTTCTTTCTTAAGGTCAACTTTATCTCTGTGACAAATTTCATTAAAATCAGTTCAGCGGTTTAGGCGTGAAAGCGTAACAGACAGACAGAGTTACTTTCGCATTAATAATATTAGTAGGGATTTTTGAAATTTATTTTCAAAATTCAAATTATTAGTAATAGGACTAAAGCATTAACTACAATCAAACGTTTCGTACAAGTTAGAATATATACATTCAACTGTATATCGTAATATCATTAGCAGAAGGTGCAAACTCCTCTTTTTTTTTCAGGTGTAGTGGGTGTTTCCCTGGTGACTCTCGGTGCCTGGTGTCTGTCATGTCGTTCCAGGTCTAGAGACGCACGCCGCGAGTACATGTTCGCTCCTTTACCAGACGATGATAAACGACCGCTATGTGAAAATGGAGCCTATGGTATGAGAAAACTATTAAAACATTGACACTGTTTAAAATGCTATTTCTTTAGGCTTGGTCATGCCAAAATTTCAACATTTTTGTTGGATAAAAACATCAATGATTCAAATTGTTTTACATTTTTATAAGTGTGTCTGGTAAAACAATATAGATTAATAAGTAAATAGTTTCAGTGCTGATTCTGGGCTTGAAACTTTTTGCTGTCTATGATCATTTATTATCTGTTGTGGAAAAATAAAAATAGAGAATTCCTATGAAACCATGTTTAAATATATTTGGTAATTATCTCAAAAACTATTTAGGAAAATACAATTTACATAAATTATATCCTCATTTCTTCATTATGATGGGACTAACATTTTACATTTAAATATGATTCTCATATATCTATCCATCTTTTTAGACGTAATCCGCAGACCGTACTACGACGAGGAGGAAATTCCGCCGTCTGATACCGACTCCGAAGATGACATCGTGTTACTAAGAACTGACAGGGACTGGAAGAATAACGACGAACAAACATAATATAAAACATACTTACAAAACAATCCTTTCAAAAGATAGTTCCCGATGAACGGATATAAGTCTAACAAACTGTTGAAATAATTATAATAAATATATAAAGAAATATATTCCTAAGGAAATATAACATAATATCTAATATTAGTATTCTACTTAAAAAGATTTATAATAATAATTTTATGTTTTTAAAATACCGTAATTTATTAAATTTAAGCATATATTACGATCTCCTTAATTGGCACAGTATTATTTTTCAAACAAAAATAAGACATTCCATATAATCAGCATTTATATTCGCGTAAAGAAAAATAATTCCGAAACAAACTAATATTTATTAACTTCAAACTAAACCGAATTTATTTTATATATCCAATGTATTTGTGAATCTCACAATAAAGAAAGCAATAATTTCTAATAACAATTTATTAATATTTTTATAATAACTTTATATAAAATGTTTATTAATTTTTAAATGTTTAAAAATCTTTTATATTGAGTATTAAATTAATCTAATTTTAAATTTTATAACTGTAATTACTTGACTTTAAAAGAATTATATATTTTATATTTGTAAACTTTTCGTCTTTTTTAAATGTTATATATGAATTTTGAGATTTCTGTTTATTATACAGATTGATTTTTTAAAAATATTGGTGCTACTTTGCCTTTCACATTTTTGTAGACCATTGTGATAGTTTAAAGATAAATATATGTTTTTCAAATGTGGTGTCGTTTTTTATTAATTTGAAAATAGATATATTCCTACACTTTTCAGTCCTGTCCTTTCCTGTCCCTTACCATACATATCAGCTGTTTTCGTGCATTTTTTTAATTTTTAAAATACATCATGATTGTCCTAATCTTAGCTATAATGTCCTATTCAGTTCAGTAAAATGTATTTCGTACAATTCACTACACTTAAGATTTTTTTCAATTGAGTCAATTGCGTCTTGTTTAGATGAGACCATCAAATTTTATTTTCCTTAAATTAAAATCATACATAATAAATGCTTTAAATGATATTGAAGGTTTTTTTTAACCAAGCAATAAATAGTACACCCCTACCATCCTATCTCTCTCCTCTACCAAAGGTTGCCTGGAAGAGATCGCTGTTTTAGCAATAAGGCCGCCTATTTGTACATTTTCCTTTCTTTGTTTTTCTCTTATTATTTCTGTTTATATTGGTGTACAATAAAGAGTAAATAAATAAAATAAATGCAAAGAACTTATTTTACAAATAACTGTAAAATTAATATAAATTATAACTAGTAATATTCAAAAGAAATGTTGTTGGTGTATATTAAAAATAAAGGTTGGAATGAGTAAGAGCTATAATTTTATATTTGAATAAAATTTTTACCGTAAGTGAAATAACTAATAAGTTTGAAAAAAAGAAAATGTAATTTGATAAGTATATATTCAGAATTAATTTGAAAACTATGAGTATAATTAATACACCAAACTAAATATTTCGCATGTTTTGGAATACAGATTATATTTACTTTTAATTTCATAATTCGAATAACCTGTATTTGAGTTTTGACTTTTGACACAATTATTATCTATGAAACGTCATACATTTTCAGTACTGATTACAGAGTTGCTTGACATTTGTGAATATTTGTAGTGGATATAAAATGTTATAGAATATTTGGTGATATTATACCTTTTTTACCATGGTTATATACGTTCGTCAAAAATAAAATATCACAAGTTTTACCTTACCGTAATAGAGACTTTGTAATGGAAAGAACAAATAACTCTAGCGACATGAGTAGAAGAGCCGGGGAATTTTTAAGGCGACTTAACAGGTTCGCTGATGGTCCATTGACGAGAAAAAAGTTAGTCCTTATCATCCTAGTCGTGATATTTCTGCTTCTTTATGTCGGGCCAACTATCATGAACTCTCTGTTCAACAGGGAGGGTTCTCTGACAAACAACCAAAATATTTGTCACCGGAACTTTTTAAACCCTTTTCAAGAAGCTCTTAATGAATACGATGCATATTTACGATTGGAATCTGCCGCCACACTGTCGACTTTGAGCCACAACTATGTGCCTTATGTAGGGAATGGAGTTTTGGGATTAACATTGGAACATGATTCCTATTTGAATATTAAATATGGAAGAACTTTGTCACTGCCAGTATACTACCATCCCCTCTACATAGTAGATGATCTAGATATGAAAGAATCAACATTAGTTGATTACAAGAATGGTATTGTACATAGATTTCAATGTAGCAGTACTGGGATACATGTTTCATATAAATATTATGCTCACAGAACTACACCATCATTATTTGTACAAGAAATATTAATAAATAATCCTCTAAATGCTCCTAAAACAATCCACTTCACTATACCGAGACTCTCTGATTGGCCAACATCTGTAAAGCAAGTAATTAAATTGCATCAAGGTGTAGATGCTAAAGAGTACGAAGTTATCACGGGCATGATTGATTTGCCAGAAAGTGAGAATGTAATCGCTGTGTCTGTAGTATGTAGGAAGATGAACAATGTTATACAGATTGAAGCTAGGGATGGCGTGGATCTTTTAATTCTTACAACTGTGCAATACAGTAAACCAATAAAAAAAACAGATTATGCTCAACAAAAAGATATTGTTGAGAAAAAAGCTATTGCTGAAATGGAGAAAGTAATAGCAATGACTGGTGATAGAGTTGCCGTGAGGAAATTACGAGATAGTCATTCTACAGTCTGGCAGGGTTTGTGGGAGACTGGCTTCTATATATCAGATTCTAAAGCCGAGGGTGTCATCAACGGTGATCGCATTAATGCTACCATATATGCTATTCTTTCCCAAGTAAGGAGCTATGAACACGAGGAACACATCAAACCAGCCACCAAGTCAGAGATATTAAAAACTCTAACATATTCTGAAGGTTGTTATGAAGGTTATTCAACATTGGATGCATTTAATTTGTGGAAGCCTTTAAATTCACTGTCTAATTTAAATAATGTAGCAAGTAGGTGGCTGCTAACATTAGAAAAACAAGGATGTCACAATCTGCTTAAGGCTGGAGCAAGTGGTGTGAACCAGGCAATGATACTTAGTTTTGGTAGTTTAAGGTTTAGCAATCAACACCTCGAGTACAATATCCATCCATCAAAATTGCATAGAGACTTTTTGTTTCGTAGAGTCAACTATGGAAACAGGACCCATGTCAACATAAGTGTTATTTTACAAGAAGATAACAAGGCTGCTATATTTGTGGCATTAGATCGCTCCGATAAAACATATTATGCCTGCGATGCTGGCTGTCTTGATTCACCTGTCCAATTAGGTCCCTATAGAAAGTATTTCCCTGTAAAATTAACGGAACCATTGACAGCAATTCTGTACATAACAGCTGATAAACAGCATATGGAGGACTTACGTCATGCTATCCATGTTCACGAGGTGATAGAAGCACCGGCGCATGAGCACCATGTAATAGCCCTACACAGACATGGCACCACTTTCGGCGGCCTAAACCCATTAGTGTGGGCATCTATAATAATTTTAATAGTTATATTTCACTTATTCCTCTGTAGAATCATAATGAATGAGTTCTGTGATAGCGGCACAAATATATCTTACAAGAGGTTGTATAACAAGGCTTAATTATTTATTTGGTTTATAAGTGCTTCAGTATTCATTGCTTGCATATGCAGCTTTTAAGATTTATACATACATTAATTAGTTAATTCACTGCCAAATGTTCTGTAAATTTCTTTATAAAGCTATTGTATATATTATTTAAAATTATATTTATTAGAATTATCCATCATAGTCACTTCTTCGGTTTGGTATATTTGAAATCAAATCATATTTCTCATTACCATATTCTCAAAGCCTCTTTAACTAGGTAGCTGTGCAATATTTTGTTTATTAAAAACAATTTAATTACACATTTAAAGCTCTCCATTGTAATGTACACAATTTGCTGATAGGTGTAGCTCCAGTGTGTTTATAAAAAATATTTTATTATTAAGTTTTGTTAAGTATTTAATTTCCCCTGCTTCGATTTAATACACATAAATGTTTCATCCGACCCAAGTTAAAAGATGACTTGTTATATAATAATAATAAAAATAAGATTTTGTGTATCTGTAATGTAACATTAAAACCAGTTTACTGAAACCTATTCCTTAGAAATATAGATTAAAATGCATAAGATAAAGACAAAATAAGATGAACGAAAAAAAAAGCTGTTGATGTACCATAGCATGTATTACTTATACACATTGTAAATACTCTATGCTACCAATACAATTATTGTAATTACATTATGTATATTTCTTAATAAAATAGAATTATGTTGTTATTTTACATTGATAATGTGGCATGAGAGGTAATATTCTTTTATAAATATATTTACATTCAATTTTCTGTTATAAGGCACATACATGTTATCATCACATCTGAACGGTTGAGTTATAAATAATAATAACCAATTGATATCAATAAACACTTATAAAACATTGTATAAGTATTGCATATAAACGTTGGTACATTATTGTATAATTTTAAATTATTATCAAAGCAAATATAAATTGTTTTGTAACCAAAAATTAGAAAAGGAAAATGTGAACTTAAAATTAATTATAATTACTATATTAATAGTACATATTCTTATTAATTTTATTCCAATTGATAATAAGATACAAATAATTGAATATTTGATGTCAAAATTTATTTTTTATGAATAGTTTTTGGATATCTTTCAATGGACCTTATGTATAAAATTATTTTACACTGTAATGCCTAAATAAAATGATACTGTAAACAATATAATGAATAATGATCATAGTCAAATACTTGACTCATTTTGTTCTGTGTATGTTACTTTCCGTCTGTGGTTACTTAAATATAAATATTTATATCTAAATATAATAAGTTTATAACATAAAATGCATATATACCTGTAAGATATATACGATTTAAATAAATAAAAATTCAAGTTACTGATTGTGCGTCTTGATTTTATGAAGCAATACAAAAAAATGGGTAAATAAAAAATGATCTCGATTCATATGAACACATTAAACATAACAGATCTAAATTTTTAATAATTCCTAAATATTGTACAAAACATATTACTATAAATATCAGTCGGTCAATTTTTTTCTGTCTATAAAATGAAGAGATTAACTTAGTTTTGTATCGAATAAAATAATTATCAGCGTAAACTGTTTTTTCAATCTTAACAAAACGATATTCTATATATAAAAAAACTTTAATATTTTCTATGTTAAAAAAAATATACTAAAAAACTATAAATTATATGGCAATATTATTTTGTGGAGTAAATACAAGTATGTTATAGGGGCTTATAAATAATACATTACAAGATATAATTTACTAAATTTGTACCGAATAATGGAACAGTTCATATTATGCTATCTGATAAGGCACTGAAAACCCAGTAACGTTCTAGGCTCTAGCGGTGTTGTGTTCGCTTCTTTATTCGACATTAGTTACTTATATTTATTATAGTTTTATTACTTATATGACAATATTAGATATTCTATTTTATGATGTACGATGAGAGGATTACCTGTAAAGAAAACGAAATGATTATCATTATATCGATATTGTATTTATTGCGATCTAAGACCTTCGCGAGTATTCATTTAGGTGAAACTTATATTTTTCGGATTATCTACGTGTATTTGAATCGTGATCACCGTGGTCGAGAGTATGATATTTTTTTAAATAATAAAATGCGATGTAGTATAATCAGAAAATATTAGTTTCATTTAATTGTATTTATTTATCTTAGGTTCTAATAAAGATTTTAAGCCACAGAATACGGAAGATATGCAATGTAAGTGTGTAATTATTTGGACAATTTTAAAGTCAGTTTTTTTTTATTGCGTATATACCTATATTGAATATTCAATAAAGCATACATAATACTAGTGTGTTCAAAAATATTGTCATTATTTAGATTTGAATCTAATGGGATCTAAACTCGCAAAAAATAGAAAATAAAAAAAGAAAACACACTTGTTTAAATAAATAAAAATATGTAATTGTTAACGAATATTTTTCAATATTTTTTTTTATTTTAGGAATTCCTTTATACTTGGGTCTTAAAAAATGTTTTCGATAGAATTAGTTGAATTATGATTACGTTATATAATCCTTATTTCATTATTTAATAATAATATAAGGTTCCTCTTTCTTTTTTATATAATTTTTTTATCAAGCTATGGCTTTATTCGCACTGAACACATACATAATTGTAACACACATTCGCACAGATTGTTTTAAATATTTAAATATATTATAGATTAGCATTGGCAACAAAGATAAAAATATTCTTATGCAATTTGTTACAATTCTACTGATTTATTAATATTTTTCGTCGCACTAGCAAACATACAAATATTCTAAAGATTTTTTTACAGAAACATCAACATCGGTACAATATATACAGCGTGTTACATGTAAAATTTCGCTCCGCAACTTATAAATACACTTATACTATCAACTGAGTAATAAACAACAACCTGTACATAACACACAAGTTTTAAATTAAATTAACTCTCCTTTAAAATAAACTTAGTAACAAATTTAGTACAACCCTTAGTTTGCTTTATAAAAATCGTGTAAAATTTTAGTTGAAATCAAAATTATATCAAATAAAAGGAAGTTCAATAATTATAAAGTTCAAATAAACTTCTCATGAAAAGAAGCAAAGATGTGTTATTGGTATTAATTTTGCGATTTAAGGTATAGTGTAACTTGTAATAGGATGTAGAGTTATAAAAATCATTATTGAATTGAGAAAGTTAATAAAACATTTAAAGATTAGTTACCATTGTTCGAGACATATAATATAAACTCTGTACAAATATTTGAAACTTCACGAAACTACAGACTTTCTACATCTGGTAATGACAATTTTTAACTCAACTCTCCGTTAATTTCTAGTAACATGTATTGAAATATTATTTTGCGTCTCCCTGTTTTAATAATGTGAAAGAATGCGCTCACTCTCTTTTCTAATTACAAAACACTTCAAGAATATCTTTTTTATAGTATTGTTTATAAAATATGTAGGCATTGTAAAGCGGTTCTAGGGTATAATATGATTTATTTTCTTTGTTCACCTATATACAATTAAAATAAAATCAACATTCGAATTAGAACATCTTAATCTTAATAATGTAATAAAGATGATCCTCTTTAACATCGATGTTGAATAAAAAAATCTTTCTGTTGAAAATATAAAAAAGACGTCTTTAATTATAATAAATTTTAAAAAATAATTATTTGAGCCATTAAAAACAAACAATCTTTATGTTTACGCATGCGCGCAATAAATAATCGAGATAAGAAGTTTACTTTGAGAGATTTACCTTAAATTATAATTTCCTTTTAACTACAACATTATAAAAGCAGTCTAAAACCCTTCGATTCTTAAGATTAAACAAGCATATTATGTATTTATTACGTAATTACTATTACATAGAAAAATCACCTAGATATATGAAAGGTTGATTTGCTAAATATAATCGCAATTGTAATACGAAAATATATTTTTGATTAACTAATAGCGTATCGCTTTTTGTGATGTTATTTCAATATAAGCGATACATTTAATATATTAAAATTTCTATCAATAGATTCCAAATTTGCTTCCAAAAAATAAGTAACCACAAACTTTTCCCACTAATACACTTATATAAAAAAATCATTCGCTGATCAGTGTTAGATACGAGACTATCAGAAAGCATGGAGTATGAAAAATGTATAAAATTTTAATCACAATAGCACGTAATTTACATCTTTATTTCTTCGACCACAACATTCAAGTTGTGTAAAAATTAAGTTTCGTGAATATCAATCGCATAAGCTATAACACATTGATTATAAATAAAATTAAGTAAACCTCGCCATCTACGAAATAATAAATAAAAATGCCTATACATATAAAGCAAGTGCAACATACGTATATTCTCAAAAATTATCATGAGCTTTATTTGTATATTTTATAAATTCGCATATGGTTAGTGTCATACTTCTTTATTCGTTTAGTCTATTTTGACTATTTCATTATTAACTTATGTATAACTTAAACAAGTTTTAAATTTTAACAGTCAAATAGTATAGCAATATTATGAATGATAATCATAAATTATTTTTAAATACATACATCTATATTACGAAAGATTTTCACTATATTCAAACTATCTTAAGTATATGTCTGTGCTGCGAGATGATTTAAAAATATTTAATTGTTGATATGAACGACAATAATTAATTGTTAACTTTGCTTTATCAAATACTAGCTTTCCGCCCGCAGCTTCGCCCGCGTGGAGTTCGGTTATATCACGTTTCCAAGAGAACCTTTCAAAAGTCTAGGATAAAACTATCCTGTTTTTTCTCAAGGTCAACTCTATCTCTGTACCAAATTTCATTAAAATCATTTCAGTGGTTTAGGCGTGAAAGCGTAACAGACAGACAGACAGAGTTACTTTCGCATATATAATATTAGTAGGGATATGCTATAAACAATCTGAGAATATACTCTGGATAGTTATAGACATTTGCATCGCAATGTTATAGAATTGCAATTCGCAAGCAATTTTATTCTCCAAATCAGTAGTTCATTCATCACTAACAAGCTATTATATTGGCCCATTCAAACTCAGAAAGGATTTGATATTGTATTGTTGACACTACACAAGTCTAGTATATAATTCCACAGTAATATTAATTACTTACAAAAGTTTTCATTTATATCAAATATTAACTCCACAGCTTTGTTATTCATGAATTTTAAGTTCGATAGATAATATTTTCACATAAACATCTCTTACATCACAGATCAATATGGGTTTAATGTAATTATTATCAAATATGCGCATAATTCATTAACAATATAAATCTAATTTATTCTCAATATTCGCAAGGCTTATTATCTTGACTACACGTATTCGCTTTTCACATAGGCTTCGGAGTTCGCAATTGCTTATAAAAAATGTTAAGCAATCCTATTCGGTATTAGGAACTATTTAACAAAATTATCTCCATAAAAGAACGAGTAACATAAATGAAATAAGATCAACAAAACTATTATTATATAATATATTTACATAGCCACATCAATATCAATATCAACATTCCCAAAGAGGGTTGATGTTAACAGGCGGCCGGTCGTAAAAACAATTAGCCAAAACTATTCACAATATGCAAGGCAGACCCCGGCTAAAGCTGAGAAAATTGCAATATATGATGAACAACATAGCCACATCAATACACTGTGGGGTATATCAAGGTCATGTTTGTTTATAACTATACAATATAAAAGCTACTAACCATATTCCATCACAAGTCCTCATAGAAGGCAACCCTCGTCCTAGTGGAGCCTTGCTTCAGTCGTCGTAGTGTACTGTACTTGTCCTCGCCAGCCCGAGCCTGTACATCATGGAGATGATCCAATCCGCCCTGCTCTACCCTCAATACTGAGAACTCACAGCGCAACTCATCAAGCTGTTGTTGGAGGTGCTTCGACTTCGCCAGATATTCGACACTGAAATATATAAAACATCATTATAATATAATAACTATATGTGTCTTGCAGATAGTTGAAGGTTTTCAAACTAGATGGTTGATATGGGATGGAAAAGATTTGAATTTGTGGTAGTTTAATTTATATACAAATTAAAATTTAAAAATGAATATGATTCAATTAAATTTTGTTTCAAACATAAGAAGAAGTCACAGTGAAAATATGTAGCTCATTTTTCCACCTACCATTAAACAAAAGTTTAATATTAAATATTAATCTACACGGATATATACAATATACTTATGTAGATGGTAGTTCAAACTCCTCACCGTTCCTTTTCTATTTCAACACTGAGCCTGTGTATGTGAGGGTCGTCGTCACTGACGAGGGTGTACGCAGTCAGCTCAGGGTCAGCCAACGGAGCCTCCGACAGTTCCGCTGGTAGAGAACATGAAGACGGAAACGGCGATGAGCTCGCAGACGGCTGGAAACAATACATATATATATATTATATAAGAAAAATACATAATAATTAATCACTAGTGCCCGTATCAATAACACTTAATGTTGCTTCATAAGTGTATAACTTAGGTTTATCTATATACAAACACATCACAAATAAACTTGTTTGAAAAATAATTCTTTAAATATATATTTTTTTATGAAACTTTGTGATAAGTTAAACAGTACGAGCTGAAGTCGTAACTAGTATATACGTTTGTATAATTATAATTAAGAAGGAATTAGTAACCTGACATTTTATTCTACATGTGGAGATTAAATTGTTATTAATTCTTAATTTTTACCTTTGAAATACATTATCTTCTTCCTGGCAAGCTCCCAGCTTTAGCCAGGGTCTGAATAAATTATGCCTTTGAAATACATTATATGTATATTTAATATTATTTACTTACAGGTGGCAGGGATCCATTCGAGGTCCTACTCAGGAAGTTAAGCAGTTTTTCCTTCGCTTGTTTCTCCGCTACTCTAGCCGCTACTAACTCTGCCTTCAGTCTCTCAGCCTCTGCAGCTCTCTTCTCAGATTCTTCAACAAGACGTGCCGTTAGGAACTCTGCTTCCCTCGTCTTACGTTCTAGATGAACCTAGAATGGAATAACCTTTAAATTAATTATCTATTATTAATGTATATTACTCACAATAAACACAACTGAAAAATTATCAAGATCAACATTATTAGTTTTTATTAATAATATATAACCTTTTCCTCCTCTGTGCGTATAGCGGAGAGTCTCAGTCTAGCGTTCTCCCTCTCCGCATCAGATGCTTTCTGTGCTAACAAGGAAGCCTCTTCTTCAGCCACACGACCCTTCTCTGCCAACAACTCAGCTGTTTCTTCTGAGCGACGCTGGAATATTTTTTTTATTTGATAAAATTCAAATGCTACTTCATGTCCTATCAACCAATGAAACTTGTCAAAAAGCACAACCTATATAAGTTATACATATAACATACAAAGAGGCACTTAGAAGATAATATCTCGTCTATATATAGGTCTTACCAGAGCATCGTTGGCTAGTCGTATCTCCTCCTGGTACTGTAACAGACGCTGTTCCATTGCAGCTCGTTCCCGTTCCGCCGCTTCACGCAGTTGCTTCTCACGAGACAGTTTATTACGCTCTATCTGACGACGCTGAAATTTTTACATACAAGAGACATTATGAATTTAGGCCCACTGATAAAGTCAAGAAGTGTATTTGAAAGGTTCAATAAATAATGGTTAATGGTTTGGGTGAGCATAGAAATTTCATATGAAATCATTTCAAGGTCACCTGTTTCTCCTCTTTAGCCTGAGCCTTCATCTGCTGCACCTCCATAGTATCAGGTTTCCGTCTCCTCATATACAAGTCATGGTTGCCGATGCAAAGATCCAAGATCTGAAACAAACAAAATTATAATTATGAAGCATTGAGGGACTTTTGAAAGTTAAATACGAAACAAATTTGTTTAAACATTTGGATTACTTATATTACTTACCAGCTTATTCATTCCTTTGGGTGAGAAAAATATAAAATTATTTACAGATTTGTCCACAAATTTTATAACAAACTTCTTGTCATCAAAAGATATGTGCTTTATCTCTGACCATGGGAAGGTTGTTTTGGGAGTGACTTTATCATCCTTCTCGTATATATTCAGACCTAAAGCTGTGACTCCCAGATACAGATCAGTTTCCTTCTTATTCTGTGAACAAAAAAATATTTAGAGTAAGATTATATAATAATACAATAACTAAATACTGAATTCTTTAATGTATGTACTAAATAAACTGTAACTGACAATCCATGGACACAGATGGTCATAGTAAACAAGCATAATAAAATGTGATAATATATCATAAAAATATTTAAACAAATACCATACTAACATTAATAGCAAAATAGTTAACTCCATACATGTCCAGATCTTGAGCTATTTTCAAATATTCCATTTCTGCTTCATCCCTTGACATGCCTTTGTGATCTGCATACCTGTTATTAAAAACTCAATTTGTTTGATATCTACACTATATATTATGTACATATACTTGAGAAATATAATTTAATTTGTTCTAATCATTATTAGATATATACAACAATTTGAAGTTTAAATACAGACTAGTAGTCTTAAAGTACAAGTAATAGTTGAGACAAGAACAATATTTTTCTGTTATTATAGTAATATATTTTTTTATAGTTCCTTACCATATCTTGATCCTCTCCTCCCACATTTCAGGTGTCATCTGATATTGATCAATGACCCTTTGAGGTAACAGATCCTCATTAGCTAACATTCCTGGCTTTGATGCTGTTTCATCATAGTCACCATACTAAAATAAAACATGACAAATATACCCCACATATTGTTACCATTTAATAAAATTATCATCATTATAATTTAGAATATTATTCTGTCTTTGCTGCATGTGACCCTAAATGTATGCAAATTTGCTAACTGTATATTAAAAGTGTGAATACATAACTATCAACCTTAGTTACTGATGCACACATGTTAATCATATTTGTATATATTTGATAATTACTTCAAATAATACTAGAAGCTCTGATAATATACAAGACTAAAAATACACATTTCAATAAACTGATTTTTAATCTCTTAGGCAAAGCTGTGAGTCAAAAATTGTTTGTCTAATTCTGAATTATGTAAAAAACAATTTACAACTAATGAGATCTAAGAATTAAATTTACTACTAGCTAAGAACCACTTTAGGAGGAGGGAGAAGTATCATGCTGTCTAATAATTTAGCTGTATTTCAATAACACAAGTAAAAATTGTATTATTTTACAATCATGACTAGATTACACTAAGAATTACCTTAGCTTGTACTGCATAACTAGCAAGTAGAACAGAGGCTTCCGGTGGGCAGTATATATCCATCTTCAGTATGGCTTGCTTGACTTGTAGGAATAAGAGGTGTTGGGTAACTTCCTGGATCAGTTCCTCGGCCACATCTTCAGGATATAATTTGCAGAGCAACATAAATGGTGTCCCTGGCATTTGTGAGACGCATTGTTCTTGTACTGTAAATGTTATAATGCTATCATAAAAGATTATTCAAAAAGGAATGAATTCATATCAAGCTTGAGCTTAGTCATTTGGTGGCAATGAGGTGAAAGATATGGAAAAAATGCAAGTATATGAGAAGGCCAGTAAAATAAAAAGATTTATTAGGTTCAATATGTGGACAATCTTATTAAGCCATCATTTACCTCTTTTATCCAACTTCAGCCAACTAATAAAATGTTTTGTGTCCTCAAATTGCAACCCAAAGAACCATGTTTCTCTTAGGCCAATTGTTCTGCACACTAAATCAAATAAATCTCTGCCAGTTGCCCGCCACTGAAATTCAAATTATTATTTATAATATCTTAAAACACAAATTAGAATCTTATGTGCAGAAATGATAAAGATGTTTTCTACAGTATGTTTTTTTTTTTTTAATATCGTAGCATGTAAAAATGAAATAAAGTTCTAGTTTAAATTCATAATCCTTGAACAATAGCAGTTTCAATACAATACTTAACACTAAGTTATGTGAAAATTAAGTAGTTAGCGGCGACGGGGTCACAGTATGACTCACAACGGGTTCATTGTGTTAATTTGCTAACATTCCCGTAATGCGAACGATAAACATCACTCCGAACTAATTATTATAAAATTGTTATAGCAATTTTTACCTCAAGGTCAAACTCTAATTCCGCATCCAATGTACAAACTTTAACAGGGAACGACTTGGCAGCCTTCTTCCTTCTAAAAGGCGGCATTATCCCGTATCATTTCTTTATCACTTGAAAACTTTACAATACATTCGATAGGTTAGGACTCATTGCATATTTCATTTAACGTGTAATACTAATAGTTTACGTAATGTGCACTCAGTACAGGAATGCGCGTAATTTTACATTGCGTACTATTTCCAGCGGTTATTATTTACAAACAAGGGGAACGTCAATGAAACAAGAATGCGAGCTGAATGAAGAAAAATTATTCCGAAAAACTAACACAACCGTTCCGTTTCACCTTGTTTTGAAATTGCTATATGTATATATATTGTTTCTGATAAAGATTAAAAAACTTATATAAATTACCAGATAATATATTCATAGAAATAAAATTTTACCTTTTTATTATAAAAACGTCTCGCATATTATAATGGAAAGCAAATTAACTAATAATCATGAATAGATTAGAGTTTTAAACTATCTGTAACGAACACCTATCAAAATGAACTGGTCCTTGCATTTGCATTTTCATTATTTGTAGACATTGACATTGACAATAGAAAATAAATATTCTGAAAACCACACCACCACGTGCCTTTTATTTTGATTTAATATCGCTGAAAAATAAAGAAATATGGCTAAATTTAGATCAAAACTAAAAGGAAAATTGAAGGGGAAGAGATGGCAAAAAGGTCAATCTTCCAACTCAAATCCAAAAACTCAAAAATACAGGGAGATGGCAAAATCCCGGTTCTTCCAAGAAAATTTAAGTAAGTCTTTTCTATTTTATTGCAAATTGGAATCGTTTTATTTTGTAATATGAATTGAACTTGCATGAATACTTTTCCTACTATCATGTAGTAGATAAACGGTACAATTTAACCTCCTCTTTTTATTATCCTTTTCATGCCACCTTATAAGAGTCGCCTAAATTACTTATCTCGAATTATTATGTAGGAAAAGCACTTATTCACACAATATACTTATAGGCAACACTGGCTTGACTGAACAAGCAGTTCTAAAACATGATGCTCTGATGACCTATGGCCATAGCAGCGGCAAAGAAAAGTCAGAAGCTGAAAATGAGCTCACCATAGCTAAGGAATTCGAAACCATGTCTGTCCGAAGTGACAACTCTGATACAGAATATTCTAAGTCTATGAGATCTGGTACATTCAAGACATTTCAAACATTTGCATCTGATTGGAGTCAATGCTCTAATATTAGTTTCAGCAAGTGAGTATATAAGAATGCATGTTATAATTATATAATTAAACTGATTCCTTTTTTGGTTTTAAGATTTTAAATAGCCACTATATAGTGGGGCTTTTTAAAATTGATTAACCAGCCTTATTTAAAACTAGAGAGACAATTTGTATATATTTTTTAAGTAATGTTTAATAGTTTATTAAAATATGTATAAAAAATTAAGCCTTCAATTTTTTGTTCAGATTACTGACAAGGTTTGATACCAACAATGCTGTTCATAAAGACATGTTAGCTGTGCTTGCTGCCGTCACTGAAGTCATTAAGGAACAGGGTGGTAAAGAATCTACTACTGAATATTTTGCAGCTCTGGTGAGTTATAATACTCATTACTTAAATTAAATAATCAAAGATTGAACCTTAATATATTTTAATATAATTATTTTTTGAATAATATCAATTAAATATTGTTGTAAATTTTACAAGAGACAACAAATTACATTTTCTTATAGATGGAAACACTTAAAGTGTCTGAGGATGAATCAAGCTTAGTGGCAACACTATCACTTCTAGCGATGGGAATAAAATCGGTACCTCAAGCAGTGTTAAGAAAACAATTCTCTGCATCAGCGTCCATATTCTCTGAAATCCTGGAGAAGAATTCTCAGTCGGAAAACGGTGCTTTGCTGCGAAGTCTTATTGGATGTCTGTCAGTATTATTAAGATCCCAGGAGTATGCAGTGTGGAGTGATTCATCTACAATGAGGGTTTTTGAATTTGTACTTGCATTTACACTGCACTCAAAGCCCAAGGTGAGTTTCTATCCCCACTTATACAAATTATGTATTTTAGGAAAATTCTGGATTTGTTTATTATTCCTGAGATTTCTTCAGCCTTAGCCTAGCAATATTTTTTATGTAAATTTGCTTGCGGACAGTTCTTGAACTAATGATATTACAGTATTGTAATTTCATATAATATTGTCATAACCAAGAAAGATTTAATTTACTTTAAGAATTGACCCTCAAATTTGCATCTTATATTGTATAGGTCCGAAAAGCGGCTCAACATGCAGTCACAGCCATCTTAAGGGGCAGCTGTTTCATGATACCTTCAGAAGACCAAAATGTTAAGGTACTGTAATCCATCTGCTTTGCATATCTAAAATCATAATTTTGACAAGCTTTTATACAAATTTATTTCAAGTCTCTTTAACTTTATTATCAGTAATATAAATACCTTCTTTGTAACAATTTTATTTATTAAAATCTATAAATATTCTTTAATTCATTTGCTGTTTTATAATATTTTATAGAAATTATAGTATTTGTAATTTGAATGATAATAATATACATTGTATGTTTCGTGCATTTACAATGTTTGATTTCCTTATGTCAATAATAATCAATCTAGTCTAGTAATTAACTTTCTCGTTTTCATTGAATTTGTGGTAAAAAAACAACATCTATTACTTTAGTTCTTGGTTTTATATTGAAGCATATTTTCGTTCTGCTGGAGTGTATTCTGTTAATTATAATATTAACATAGGTTATTTTATGAGAAATAGCTAACTCTTTATGCAGTGAGACAATGGTATCTCAGAATAAGCATATTGAATGTTTCAAAAGTTTTGATGATGAAAATTACTAAATTAATCAAAAATTACTATAATAACTTTGACTTCAATAATTTAATGAGGGCTGGGACTTTGAATTATCTTTGATAGCCAGATGTTCATTCTATTAAAGGTTTTTTTTATTGACATACTTCTATTTCTCTTATTTTGTAATCTAAATAGGTATCTATTGAAGCAGGCATATTTTTGATTATAATTGTCTATTATTTAGACAACAACACCTAAGACTCAAAAATGTGATTCAAGCCTAAGATTTATTAAATTACAATACTTCCATGCATTACAGAAGGCTAAGAGCCGGATGTGGCCGTTATTGAAATGATATAAGAAATAATTTTCTTTGACTTATTTACACATTTTCACTTGAAATAAAGAAGTTCAGTAAAATAATGTATATAATAATATTAAACTTCTATCTATTGCCTTTTATTTTAACTCCTAGGTACCCAAGGTCCACCCAGCGGCGAGTCGCGTGTCTGAATACTGTCTATCCCAGCTGAGTGCTGAAGCCCTACTCGCTGGTCACAAGTCCGTACTGCACACTCTCACACTACTCAGGGATGTGCTATGTGTCTTTAATAAGGAGCAAATTAAGGTAAGTGATATATAAATGACGTCATACACTACTGTAAACGTATAACCAATTGGCATATGTATAATTGGTATTATTATTACTTTTGTAATTTGTTGTTATAGATGTAAATTTTGGGTTATATTATGTCATTCATAATATTATACTACATTAAATTTAATCATTGCGTTTTCATTTACATCTTTTGAGACTATTAGGCTAATTCTTTGTAATAAATATATTTGATTAAATTTCTTTTAAATATCAATTGATTTACATATTTTTTTGTTAACCACAGTTAGTTTATTATTAATTGTAAAAATTTAAGTCTTCGTTTTCTCTCTTAATATTAAGTTATTTTTAAAATTTCTCAGGCAAACTGCGAATCGATTCTATCATTGATGACTCACAACAACGTGTACATAAAGACGTGTTGCCTCCACACTTTCCACGCACTGTTCTCTGCGCCCCGCGACTATAGTAATATGTGGGGAGGTCTAGCCGTTCAGCTCACGAGGGCCCTCATGGCTTCGAGGCCCCCCGCTAATGATACAGGTCAAGTTCTCGCATGGGCCACAGTCCTACAAGCTGCATATGGATGCCTTGCTAGGTATGAATGAACTTTCTTCAACAATATGTATGTATCAGCAAATAACTTAATCGCCAGAACTTTGGAAGCATCTTAAATAGAAATACAAATAAAAACTTAAAGATTCTTTGCCAGGTGTTTTAATATATTATACATTTCCAGTCTCGATATAGACCTGTGTGTGCCACTGGTTCCTCAATTCGTGAATATCTGCGTATCGGAGCTATGGCTGTCGGATGTGGCGGAGATCAATGGGGCAGCCACCAACGCACTTAAAGTAATTATATATCTATATATAAATGTTCATTTTTGTAATAAATGAACCTGTAATACTTCCATATACACACAAACTAAGCTAAGTTCTTATTATGGATCATGTCCCTAGTATTTTAATAGTGTTAATAGTTTTAAAGATTTAAAATTTTCTTTCTATACCAGGCTATATTGCTGGACTGCGTAAAACCAGCTCTTGAGACCGACATGAAACATAGGAACCACATTGAAGCTGTTTTCAAGACAATCAGTTCGGGCTTAGACAATCCCTTCAACCAGGCTATTAAACATGTTATACTTACTATTGCTGTCTGTTTCGAGGTAAGAGGAATGATAACTATATTTAACATTGCTCTAAATTTCAAAGGAATATTTATCCACTTATAATAACAAACATAAATACATTTAAGCAAAGAATTTTTCGTTTATTGGTGCCTATATTGCAAAGATATGATTAGCTAGTTGTACTCGAGATGAAAAAATATACATCCATACCTATTGGTATTAGATACAGTAGCGATAAAAAAGTCTATGCGTGCGAATTTATACAGCACTGCGTATGTTTTATGTATGTTAGTGACATAATATATATTCTATGCGTATAAATCTATTTAAGTAGTAAATGAGGCTCATAATGAGATCTAAGTATTTGCAAGTATTCATATAAATAATAATTATTCAATAAATTTAAATCAGACTCAGCAAAGATGAATGAACTTAAATATGCGACACTTAAATGCTAATTAATTTAATGTAGATTTCTTTTT